GAGCATTGGGAGGGAGGGTGCCCTGGACTCGGCCACGCCGTTGTTGGAGAACACGATTGTGTTATGTTAACTAAAATCTAACACTTGAAAGCTTAACTGTACTGACTTTATTGACCGTCGATTCCTATTTTATTATTTTATTTTCACTGTAAAATCATGGCAATGAAGCACAAAGTCCTAGTAGCTAACAGTTAGCGGTAGTGCTATTGTTCATGATGTTCTGGAGTTTGTGTTGCAACTGATTGTACAAACTTTGCGTTTCAGACTCATTGTCCACGATCGATTCACTTGCACTTTCTCCATGCAACGCCGACGACTCTTCCCAGCCAGTGATAGCAGCGTCTCCACCACGACCGCCAACACCATCACCATCAACCTCCAGCTGCACGACGACACCGCAGCGTGTGGTCACAGGTATAAAACAAATTTGATGTATTTCATATGTCATAATATGTACATATAGGATATATATCGTTATATACCGTATGTCATGAATTCCTGTTGCTTTCCATAAATACATTATTGGTAGCTTCTGTAAATGTGATGTTAGATCATTTAAGGATGTTACTGTACAGTTCTTTCATAAATGAATGTATACAAATCCACAGTAAAGAAAAACCTCCCATTTCTAACTATTTTCTTCATTTTGGACAAGGCCAGCGGAAACGGAGCCTGCACCATCAGGAACATCTTGCGGTGTTAAGAGAAATGCAGGTGGCAGACATTCAGCAACAGGAGCTGAACCGTGCCCAGAGGGAGCACCACTTGCAGATGGTACTTGAAGAGGCCAGACAAGCGAGGGAGCAGGAAGCAGCCTTGAGGGCAGAGGAACACTCTCAAACGGCTGCTTCCAATCAAGCATTCCTCAACGTTATGGGGATGCTTGTCCAGGCAATGAGTGGCCGAAGGGAATAGAACTCTCTGGCCAAATAATGCCATAGGCATTTATGTTTTTGCACCTTTTTTTGTACTTTGATAATGTTTAAATTTATTTTTGTTGTATTTGTCTTTTGTATATCAGTTTTGCACTACATACATTTGCACATTGTTTAAAGTTTGCTGCTTACATTTTCACTTAATCTTTTTCATGTATATCAGACAATTGTTTACAGTTCTTGCACAAGGTACACTGGCACATTGTTTAAAATTTGCTTTTTATATTGTAATTTACACTTTATTTATGTCTTATGTATATACTTTTTGCATTTTGTATATTTTTAGAGTAGGTTTTCTGTTTATATTTTTACCTTTGTATTTGTGTTTTGCTTCAATAAAAACTATGATCAAATAAGTGTACCTCCTTACTATATTAAATATTTCATATTTTATGAGCAGGTAATGTACCTCTTGATAAAGACAAATGATTAATGCCATAATGATACAAACCAAGACATAAAAAAAAAACAAGGGATACATTTTAAACTTTGAAAAATTGTACAAAACTTTATTGAAAATTCACTTTACAGAACAGGCTACATGAATAGTTAACTATTCAAGTAACGCATGAGACCTGCACGAACATCCCTGCCCTCCTCCTCTACAGCCTGTGGCACTGCCACCACGGTCTCTGCTGCTGGTGGTAAATCCCAAGCATTCACATAGGCCTCTCCATGACTCTCACAAAGGTTATGTAGAGCACAACATGTCAGCACCATGGATTTCACAAGGTTGACAGCACAGTCATTTCTTTTCATGAGGCATCGCCATCTTCCTTTTAATCGACCAAAGGCATTTTCAACAACTATGCGTGCTCTGCAGATTTTCATGTTGTAGACCTGCTGTTCTGCTGTCAGGTGTCCAGTGTCAATGAATGGTTTTAAGAGCCAGTTCTGCAAGGGATAGGCAGAGTCTCCTAGGATGTAGCAGCCAGCAGTCACCCCACCTATGTTTCTGGTGTTAGCTGGTATGTGGTTTCCACGGCTTGCCAACTCCCACAGTGTTTACAGTCTCAAAACCTGAGCATCATGCAGGCTTCCAGGCAGTCCTGTGAAAACATTCCAGAAAAGTCCCTTTCCATCCACATCACCTTGAAGCATGATGGAGTGCCAGCCTTTACGGTTGAAATAGTCACAGTGATATTCCTCTGGTGCTATGATGGGGATGTGTGATCCATCAATAGCACCAATACAGTGTGGGAGTCCCCACCTGTTCTCAATGTAGGCAGCCATTTCTTTAAACTTTTCCTGATCTGGATAACGAATTTGCTCTGGTACTGTCGTGGAACAAACAATGGTCTTTTCGAAGTTGTCAAAAAAGCTCAAGTAGCAGAGTTCCAGATGTCAAAAGTTTGCTGCTTCCCATTGGTTGGCGGTGGTCCCATGGGACATCCATCAAATCTGTTTACTTGTTCCTGTCACCTTTTGGAAATCACCCAGAGTTCATTGGGTTATTTAAGTTCACTGGTACAATCCAATGGAAACCACTGGTACTGCCCAATGGAAAGGCCTTCATACATACAATCTTCATTAAGACAATCCAGTATTGGGAATAATTCAGCATATTGATTAGTATATTGATTACTTTCATGATTATACATAATATTTTAAGTAAGATAATACCATATTGAGTAAATAACATAATAGGTAATAGAATTACACAATATATTCCCCCCTCTGAAACTTTACCAAGTCTCACCACTAAGCAGTTTGCCTAGAGTGCAACACCATAAATCCACCTATCCTTCTGTCCATCTATGAACCAATGATGGTCCTCCATCACCTCTTACCAAATGGTTTCTTTATGTTGATGCAGAGGAAGTCAGAGCCAAACATCTCTCCCCACAGTTGACTAGAGACGAGTAAAAGACTCCGCCTCCCTACCAATACTGTACATTTTTGGGGGTCAAAACAGCTAATCAAAAATAAATAAACAATGTGTATCAAAGCAAGTGCGTTAAATGTCTTAACCTTGCGCATAGTTGTTATGTGTAATACATGAATGATTAGTCAGATGATTAAAATCAATACCAATCAAATAAAGAAATGTGATAAATGATGCACTGGTTTATCCCACGGTGCCAGATGAACTCCAAGCATTTCCGGTAGCCTGGAGCGCTATCTGGTGATGCTGTCCTTCGTTGCCAGAGGAGCTCTCAGGCAAAGCTCATTGCCCTCCAGCGCTATCTGGTGGTGGAGTAGATAGTGGGTTTTTAAACCTCAAGTTGAATCTACTCATGCTGCTAAGCACCGAGGTGCTCGTTGATCTTTTCTTCTTTTCATACTTTGATGACTTTTCCAGTGTTAAAGAACAAACTATATACTGATAAATGATGCATACTTTCAAATAACAAGAAAATGTGTAATCTTTCTTTATCTTCCCCTTTTCTGGTTGCATTGCCTCGTAACACGGACAATGACCTGCTTAAGACTTTTAGTGTCCCCTTTCTTTCCAAAAACAATCACATTTTACATTTGATTTATTTAGGAGAATGAGAAATGATTTCAGAATAAATGAAAAATAAATTACTTCAAATATACATGCCTTAAGGAGTAAATGACTTCAGGAAGGAGCATATGCCAAAATAAAATACATAACACCCTCTAACTTCCTTCCTACTCTATCCACGTGTTCTAATACTACTACATAATATATAAAAAGAAAATACAATGAAGATACTAACTCCCTTTCCATCAAAAGTTACAATACAGGATAAAATAAAAAATAGAAAATAAAAGGCACCCCTTCCCTACCACTCTGTTGTTTTTCAGGAAGGTTTTACACAAATTCATCCAGCTCATCCAGTCAATCCAATGTCAACTCCAGTTGGCTTCACTATTACGTTAATCATCTGTTTGGCTGCAGCACTGGCCAGCATTGATCTGATGAAAGTCACAATACAACAGAACAGCAAAAGAAACACAACAACAACAATGCCTATTATGATGCCCACTTTGGTTAACCATTCTCCCCAAGCCCCAAAAAGTGAATCAAACCAATCCCAAGTCTGCATGTCTGTTCCAGCGTTCTCAGTCACTTCATCTGTCAGGTTTTTCAGTTTCTCCATAGCTTTGGTGAATGATCCAGCTGGGGCTGTACTATTTGAAATATAAGTACAACAGTCAGTTCCAAACATTATACATATGCCTTTTTCGACCATCAACCAGTTCAATGTTTGTCTATGCATCATCAGTATAGTTAATAAATATCTGCTAATTACAATAAATATAGTTTATCCGCTCTATATTCTTGATAGAGGTTATCTATATGAATATTGACTCAAATCCATATTTTATCTCAT